ACATCTCTAGGATTTACACAAAATGGTCAGAAAAAGAGACAATATCCAGTATGTTCAATGAACACAAATGCCTTGTTGAGGTAAGAGGAGATTGGCCAGACTGGCTGGTGGTGGTGTAATGGTGTGGGCTATATTGTCTTGGCACACTTTGGGCCAATTAGTACCAATTGAGCATTGTGCAAGTCTACCTCAGTATTGCACTTTATGGCCACAGTATACCTGTCTTCTGTTGGCTACCTCCAGCAGAGTGAGGTGCCATGTCGTAAAGCACGAATCATCTCAGACTGGTTTCTTGAACATGATGATGAGTTTACTGTACTCAAAAGGCCACCATACTCACTAGATCTAATAGGGCACCTTTGGGATATGGTAGAATCGGAGATTTGCATCATGAATATGCAGCTGATAAATCTGATTAAGATTGTTCTGAAGGCAAAAGATGTTCTAGCAAGGTGTACCTAATAAAGTGGCCAGTAAGTGTAGTACTAGACAAAATATAGTTATGAATAATGCTATACAGACAGAGAGACCACCCAACCAACAGCATGACTGACAAAGTTGATCAATTCATTAACTGATGGATAATCTTAAGTGTCCTTTGAGAAATTTATCCAGCAAAACCCCAACATGGCCAATGGCCATATTCCTGATCTCAGAATTTCTTCTTATCATCTTATCACCTTATCACTTTATCATCTTCACTTGAGCTCTTTCTTCAGTGCGAGGCTTTATTCTCAGTAGAACATCATTAAATCAAATACCCATCACTCCTGCTTAAGGCCCTTCTGACATTTGTTCAAATGTGGAATTGATCTTAGATATGTCTCCTTTAAGAAAAGAAAGGGTGACCAGTCAAGAGTGTTTTCAGAAAATGTTGAGCTCACCAGTCTCACTGACTGCAAAATCTCTTTTGTTCTGGCTTGTAACAATAGATCATCTTCTCATGGTGCAACAGAATGATGGTCTCACGCTCTGATAATGGAGCTTTCATTGCAGCAAGGTCATCAGAACAACCAGTGATCTGAACACAGTGTGACCAAGAGCATCACAAATCTGAATTAACCCTCACTGAGCTCCTCCATCAGATGAACCGGAGGAACCGCTGTGCTTCTTTATCTTCTGTTCATCTCACGGCTGGGTTCAGATGGAATTATCACCAGGAGAATAATCAGGCTGATTTTCTGACCTTGAAGAGTGATTGTATTTCTCGTTCTACTGAGAGTAGATTATTTAGCCATTTTCTCTAATCAAGCAGAAAATAAACGTGTGTGTTGTTTTAGTTGATGTTTACAGATGTCTAGAATGACTCTGATTCATGTTAGAAGTGACATTCTAATCAACTAAGGGTTAGTTTAAAATACAATCCAAAACAAAAAGGTGAGATTAATTTACAAACCAATTAAATTACCCAGCATAATTTTGGCTAGTGACTAAATTAATTTACTTAGATGCATTTACTTAACAACATTTTGGTCAACTAGTTTTTTATTTAACTCAAGGTATTGTGTAGGAAAGTGCCATTAAGTTTCAGGTTTGATTTTCTTAGAAAGTTTTTGAATTTTTGAATACAAAGGTACCCGGGTGTAATTGAACAAAACCAAGGACATGGAATCACTGTGTAGATTCTGCCAAACATAAAGTGTGATATTCATGTCTAAACACTTTTTAGAACACCTTCTAAATCTCATCTGGGGGGAGAATAAGGTATTACAATGCCAACCAGGAGATATAGTCTCTCTAGTGTGTTTTAGGTCTTCCCAGGGGCCTCTTCCTAAAGGGACGTGCCCGGAATATCTTACCAGAGAGGCAACCAGAAGGCATTTGATACAGAAGCCAGAGCAACCTTAGCTGGCTTCTCTCAAAGTAGAGGAGCAGCACCTCTACTCTGAGCTCCTCCGATGAATCTGAGCTTCTCATCCTATCTCTAAGAGAGGAAACTCATATCGACCGTCTGTAATTGGAATCTCATCTGTTCGGTCATGTCCCAAAGCTAATGGTCATAGGTAATGGTAGGAGTATAAATTTACCTGTAGATAAAGTGGCAGATTACTATGGCAGATTAGAACATCGACCGCATTGCTGCAGAGACAGCACCAATCCGTCTGTCAGTTACTCACTCCATAGTCCCCTTACTCATGAAAAAAATACTTAAACTGAAACACGTGTAACAGCACCACTCCACCAACTTGGAGAGAGAATGCCACCTTTTTCCAACTAAGAACCATGGCCTCTGATTTGGAGGTACTGATTTTTAATCCATCCATTTCACCTTGGGCCATTAACTGCCCCATGCACACTTGAAGTCCTGGTCTGATGAAGCCAACATTAGCACATCATCTGCAAAAAGCAGAGATGGAATCATTTGGTCCCCAAACCAGACTATCTCTGACCCCTTGCTATGCCTGGAAATCATGTCCATAAAATTTCAAACATGACCGGTGACAAAGGACAGTTTTGCCAAGGCCAGCATGCCCTAGGAACAGGTCAGACTTTTGTCAAGTATGCAAACCAAGCTCCTGCTCAAGCTGTACAAGGACAGGACAGCCCTTAGCAAAAGACCCTAAACCCCATACTCCCAGAGCACGCCCCAAAGGGCCCCACAAGTCCAATGTCTTCTCTAGGTGCACAAAACACATATGGACTGGTTGGGCAAACTCTCATGAGCCCTCCAGAACCATGTAGAGGTTCGAATATTGGCCGGATTCTTCTCTCCTGTTCCCTGTCATAGACTTTCCTGGAGAGGCTGAATGTTTCTCTTGTAGCTAGAACACACTCCCTTCTGGAAAATAGGGCGGCTTCAGCAACATGGGTGGTTTTTGAGTGATTTTCAATAAGGATTGGACAATGTTTCAAACAAGCTAATGGAAAAATATAAACTTTGAATGTTACTACCTAATATCATATAATATATAGTTGTACGCAAAATGACCTTAGACACTAAGAAATACTAACTCGGGAGTCTTTAAAGTACCACAATATGGGGGCTTATAGGTAAAGCAAACGTGTCTCTGGAAGGATGCAGAAACCAGAAGATGAGCATGCAGCACTTTAGATAAACCTTTTCAAAATAAGCAGAGGACCCAGCTAAATCGATCCAGAGCTATTTCACAGGGGGGAACCCTTGATGAAGAGTCTTGTTATCCAAGCATTGCGCTGACCCAACGTTTTCCCAAGCACAGAGGAGAGACCATCAGATGTGTCCTCTCTCCTATGGGGGCATAAATCAAAGCATCCCTTAAAAAAAACTCAGATTGTTCCAGTGCAAACACGGCATGGCCTGCAGCTCGCCAGCGCATCATCACACTGCTGTTTGTTCATTAAATATTAACCCTGGCTGCCTGGTGCCCATACAATCCCTGCTGGAATGGATTTTGATTTTCTGAATCTGAGTCCACGTGAAGGGCATCACTGATCTAATCAGAACTCAGTGTTTGTAGCCCGAGGGAAGAAAACTCTGTCCCTCTAGTATTCAATCTTTTCCTCTCACTCACTTTCTAGACAAGGTCACTCAGTGCACTTCGTGCTTTTATTGTTTATCATGTTAGTCAAATTAGTGATTCAGTAGAACAAGTGAAATGACTGATTAACTTGGTGTATTAGCCAGAAGATTGTTTGAAATGCAATATGAAATATTAAGGATACTCATTTTGTAATTGGTCATTATTAATTTTTACAGTCTTGTAAAATCTCCACATATTGAAGCCTCTGCCGTTGTCTACTCTAAGCAGATTCTAGCGGGTGGTGAGAGAGACACGAACACTTGTTCTGGTTGACGTGGCACGGGCGTATTTATTAAAATATGATGGCGAACCAACCATAAGTGATTAAAAAGAAGAGTCACTTTACTCTTGCTGCTCGGAAGGGACTCCCCGGATGCCCTCACCCCGATTGCCCCGGTGGAGTCTGGATCCCAGACTGGAAGCACTGATTGGGTCTGTGGTCCACTGCATCGACCCTGGCTGGGAATGTGGGCAGTCCAATGCCCTGTATGCTCTCTAGGGGAGTACACTGATGCTGCAAGCAAGGTCAGGCAGCTCCTGAGGTTACTGCTGTGGCGCATAACTAGAAGGAGGTTCTCCTCCTTGCGCCGACTCTGTAACGCATTTTATGCATGCGCTGATGACGAGTTGGCGTTACTAATCAGCCCCGACATGGTATGTATATCACAATATACATACCATGTCAGATATCGGATAGAAGTCAGTTGTCCTATATAAGACAACACTTCACAGTAAATGTAATTTCAGTGCAACAGAGCTGCTTATTATATCAAGGATTATCTAGTCTCTATTATTGCCGAGGGCAGCTGAGCACCAATCCTTTATAAACAATCGGTCTTGAGCACACCTGATCACCAGTTAATCATCCCAAATGACCATTCTCCTCACTTCTTTTAAATAGTCACCTACCTCTGTAGCAGTCCAACATGTTCTCCAGCAATCTCTACTTGAGAACCTTGAGCACCTCTAGCAATCTCCTCATCCGAACACTTAGATATAGAGATCTCATTCTGTAAACACTTGAATCCAGTGATCTCCTCTTGAGAACAACTTACCTTTAGCAATCTCCAATGATGAAAGTATCATCACCAATGATTTCCAAGATATTCTCAACTTCAAACAACCTGCGTACTACTCCACCATAAAGAAAGCACAACAAGGATGCAGTTGATGTTACTTCCTATATCACCACCATTCCAGCCATTTACTATGATGATTGTGAAATGACTGTTGAATTTTCAACTTCATTTACACATTACACATTTACGCATTTTGTAGATGCTTGTGAATGACATTTCAAGGAACAGACACCATTTTTGGTTTCACTGGGGAAATAATGGTAAGAATTATCATTTCTTCTGTTTATTTAAATGAATATTCATAAAAGATTCCCTCAAACAACATCTTTTTCATCTGTGGGGACATTAGGACCAAGTATAAAGTGACCCATACAACCAGCCATTGTGGGGGAGCTTTTAACACTCACCCCTCTTTCAACTCCCAGTTGAGCTGGGGATCAAACCAGCGACCATCTGATCTCCAGTCAATCACCTTATCCACTGGGCCATGACTGCCCACGTAGAGTTGTCATGCTAGATATTCAGAATACCCAATGATCTAGTGACTGAATTTACATTTAACTACTTCAATATGTAGTTCATTGTATGGTTTATTCATTTTAATATATTTATTATTTGGTAGCACTTTATAATAACTACACCCTATGAGTCATTAATGACTCATAGTGTGTAATTATTATGAAATGGTACCGTTATAGGGTTACATTTGGCTGTGGTTCTAACAAGAATTTAAAAAGAGAGGGCTGACAGGGCTGACAAAAAAAAACAGATTTTTGCAGAAATACAGAAAAACACCAGCAGATTACACATAGCTCTGCTTATTAGAAAGCGGTTTGGCAGACACTATGTGAAAAATTCAAGAAAAAAAAACAACCTTTAATAACATTTAACTGGAACATTTCGATATTTACATACACTGAGGTTGGACCATGTATAGAAATGTAGTATTTCATAGAATGTTTTTGAGCACAATGCAAAATGTAACTGTGTCTTTGCTATAAATTAAAATGTGAATTTATGCATTTGGAAACTAATTTAAAATATTGGATTGCAGGACCACATTTATCGGTTCTTACTTTCCTTTTTCATCAAGCCAACAAAGCTTAGTCCCATGCTCTTTTAGATCAGGAGTCGTTTCACTGCTCCTAATGGTGGGATGTTAAAAGTTATTATAGAGCTTTGGAAATAATACAATTATACGGCAACATCAAACCCACATTACTATACTGGCCAGTGTTTCAGTTTCATCGTCCAGTACTGATAACTACAGTATCAGACTGTTATATGAGACATGATAGATGTTATATTCCTTCACTTTGGAGGTGTGAGTCATAGAATCTACAAATGAGGCTAGAAACCTGTGCTAATTAATCCTAGAAAGAAAACAATATAAGAATTGTTACTGAACTAAACTTTTACAGTGGAAAAATACAAAGCCATTATGAGTTTGTGAGATAATGAAGGTCTTCGTTATTTATGCTCCACATCCCATCAGCACTGCAAGTTTGTTGAGCATAATGACCGTCGAACTGTTCATGATTCCTCACACTAAACATTTGAGAGCCAAGCTTTCATTAAAAATAATTATGCATGCAGAACATACCAATAAAGCACTAAAATCTGACATGAGAGGAAATCTAGAGATCAGTGTAAACTATGACATGAATTACACGATTTATTCCTCTATTTATTTCTTCTTTGCTGCTATGTTCTTCAAACACATAGCATCTTGTTCAGGTGCAATCAGAGTAATTTATTCAAGTGCCGTAGAGTCCTTTTCTAGTGTGTGTGAATAAAGATACATCAAGAAAGCAAGCTTCTGTTTGAAAAGGAGCTAAAAGTTTTGATGAAAGCAGCTTTGACTGTGTTACCGCTGTGAGACACAAGCGCTTGCAGCGATTTTCTTCATTTGTAGCCATGTTAACATCCTTCAGAAGTAGAACTGAAGGAATAGTTCAGACAAGCATGAAAATGAATCCGAACCTGTTTAACTGAGTTTCTGATTTTGAAAACAAGCCTTGTTTGAAGGCTTAACTAAAAACAACTTTTATTATTTCATCATATATTTTACTCCACATTCACCATAAAAATCCACCATTGTGGTTCTTGAAAATCAACCAGAGAAAAGTCATTAGAAGAGGGTTTCTGCTCACAATATTCTCAAAACAATGCACTTCTCAACCAAACAAAACTGAAAAATGCACTTTAAATTCAGCAACTAATTTACATTCAATTGATTGATGTCTTTCCCACATTAGTTTGGTTTGCTTAAATTTCGTTTTCACACAAGAAGGAACACTAATTGATTGCTTTCCAACTAAACAATTGTCAATTTGTTTAAATGGGTTCATTAACTTACAGATGTTTTCTTTGGAACATATATAGAATTATAAATACTTCATCGACACCTGGCATTATAACCTGATAAAATGTCTGTGTGTTTTGTTGAGAACAATATAATTCTTTTACACAGTGCCCGCACACTGAAAAAAAAGGATACATTTAAATTTACTTGATGTTATCGTGTACCTTAGTTCCACATGACCAGAATGTGAATTTTAAAGATTTAATCTAAAATCACACATTCTGATTGTGTGGAGCCAATGGACCAAGAATAGTTTTTTCCAGGTAATCACAGGAAGGAAACACATGCTGAGAGATGCATCACCAGTGGATACAGCCTTGAATTTTTGCATCCTATAATTTTGCTGTGCATAGCTTCATTTGGTCTGTTTGCAGGGCGTATGTGCATTTAAAAGTATTATTTAGCACACATATTTAAAATCCTGTTCTGTTTCATAAATGTGCTGATTATAATTGCCAAAATCATATCCATATGGCAACAAGGCTATACGTCCCCAGAGAAGTTACAATACTTACCAGTCAATACTTTGATTTTACTTTATTATTATTATTATTATTAGAGCTTGCCTAAAACTCAAACAGTACATCAGAGGACAATTTAACACAGGTTGATCTGATTCTTTGGGGTATTCATTAGGGAGGATTCTTGTGACTGAAAACATTTGGGGCTTATCCTAGAGCCATATAAGCAATTCCTACCCAGCTCAATCTGCAATCTTGAACATTGTGGCATCTTGTGTATAATATAATACTGCCAACATTTCATTCCAAATAAAAGTATATTATATTGGTGGAAACAGGACGATGCACTCAAAGACACAGGTAAAGAAGAACAATCACAGACACATAAAGCTACTAAGAGGAAGGGCACTTATCTGCTAAGTTTATTTAGTCTAATCTGTAAAAACACTGTTCTCCTAAATACCAGAAAAAATATATATTTCTAATTTCTATTTGTCATTTTGCTTGAATGTTTTTTTCTAAATAAAACAAGACCTTATTTCAATGAAAATGGAATTGTTTATTGAACTTATGTTAAAGTACATTAAAAGAATGAATTAGCCAATGTTATATCTGGGTCACCACTTAACATTTGTTTAACAAAAATGAATTTTAATTATTAATTTGTTTGTTTCTGCTGGCAGCTCCCATGAAACTTGAGCCTTATTTATTTATATAATTTCTGCTTTTTTTTAATCACAAAGCATGTCTGGATCAATCAAACAAAGTGTTTGTGTGGCGCAAAAACTTCAGATCAGATCAACCAATAAAAATGGCTAACTGGGCATTCACACTATGAAAAAATCCCTTTGACTTCAATGGGATCACATGCGGCGATGCGAAAGCAGATGTTCCCACCTTGCGACTTTGGGACTTGAACCACCACATTGGCAAGGTCAGGTCTGTAATCTTTTTTGATTCCTCAATATGAAGCAAATGTACATTTCATTTACGAGGAATTTACTAATGGCTCATTTCCAGGGTACATACATTTGTTGTAATCAAAAGAGAACTGCTGTAAGTATTTTGATAGGTTTAAGGGGAATTTACACACAATTAAGCCACATTTCTGTTCAAACACATGTAAAAGTGTTTTCTTTTTTAACTGAGGTCTCTTTAATTCAGGATCAAAATACAAAACTTATCATTTAACATTTGCTAACTAGCAAAAATACATATGCGACCTATCAGCAGTAAGCACATATCAGCAATATACATTCAAATGGAAAAAAGTACTAGCTCCCAGAAATCCTGATTGTAATATTCAATTAGTGGGACACTTTAAAAACAGTATTAGAACTATTATAACTTATAAAATTATAAACTGACAAATTCAGAAAATGCATGTTACATCTTTTTTACATTTTTTATATGTGAAAAGAGCAGTTTGTCCATGGTTTAAGAAACCATTCTTTGTTTCTTAAACAAGAACATGATTGCTTTGACTGGTGCTTTTCAATTGTTGAATGTAAATAAAATAATAAAAACCTACAGCAACATTCAACGTATTAAAACATGACTATGATTCAATTTTAAACATCTGTAACGGACTTGTTTTAAGTGTAAACAAAAAAAAAAACCTTCTGACTGTTCATTTAAATTAGGCAACATGAGGCACATTGTTTAGCCTCAGGATCGAGGTTTGCATGTTTGGTTTTGAGTTTACTTCTGCCTCTTCATACAGTTCAACCAGTGGACAATATAAACATGGTTGTAGTCTCTATGACGTCATCCATAGCTTTCTAATGAAGGTCATGGAGTCTAAAATTGGATGTTAACACAACTGAATAATTTTAATCAGACAAAGGGTGCAAAGAGGCAAATTTGTTTGCACAGCAAAGTTTGAAAGTTAAGTGTTAAGTCATTAGTATAACTTAAACTATAGAGTGTAAAAAAAACATTAAATCCTCTTTACACTAATCAAGCTTAGAAGCTGAAGGTCATGCTTAGCCATTTGAACTTAAAAGTCATTTGGTAGCAGGTTTTAAATATATTTTTTATGCTGTAAAGTTTACACTTTCAGTGTCAATGATTATCTGCTCACTAGTGACAGTAGTGGCCAGTAGATGAAATCTGCTTTTAGTCACAGAGGAGTAAACAAAGAGTTTCCTTCCAAATAGCTTTATGTTTTCTCTAGCAACTGTTTGTATAACAACTTTTGGGTGGAGGTACCAAGGCATGACATCAGTTCAACCAATTACTTGATCCAAAACATACTCATATAAGCCAGACCATCCGTTCACCACTTAACTGAGCTTCCTCCACCTTTCACCAGCACCTCACTAAAGTGGGAAAAAATACAGGACAGCCCACTCCTTGTGTTCATACCTGGCAAATTTTAAATATGACAGTCTAATAACATCAAAAATGTACTCTACATTCTGATTTAAAACCATTTTTATTTTTTATTTTCAAATGCTACCCTACCATATATTCATTCAGGATATAGCATATATTTTGTTGAAAAATAACATACAAACAGCAATAAATAACAAGTAAATGTAATTTATCCATATGGAACATTTCTAAATGATGAACACCTTAATTTCGCATTTTACTTGAAACAAGAGCTGGCCCTTGTCATGTCTTGTGAATGAGGCCCCATGAAGAGTTGGAAGATATACACCGT